ATTATGTATTATCACATATGTAGATATAGTGTCACATTGGATTTATTCTGTAAAGATGCTATATTCTCGTTATTAAATAAATAAAAAAAAATAAAAAACATAATAAGAGCTTTACTCCGATACCTTTCACGACTGATTAAAGGCGTTTCTTAATTGGTCATATTAACGGCTATTATTTCAATCATTTGATTGCCGAATTCGTTGAATAAATATTGCGTATGTTATTTTTAATTTATTTAAAACCTTAATACTATTACAATAAGATTTAAATTTATTATTACAATCTAGTGAACATTTTTTACAATTTTTGTATATCCAGTTTACAGTATACAAAGGAATCAGAATCACAAACTGTTTGGGTGGCTACGAAGAGATGATTACCAGTAATTTGTGTTGTATTGTTTGCATTTATTCGTGTCTTTAGTTTATTTATAGGGTGTAGGATAGGGGCAGATTGACTGTGGATGGCTACAAAGGTAGAGGAAGACCGAAGGAAGTATGGATGGATTGTGTGATAGACATGCTTAAGAAAGAAATGGATTCAGATATGACGGCTGATAGAAATGTAAAGAGTAGCACATACTGTGCCGACCCCCAAGGAATAGAGGCAGAATCATCAACACGCCTTGTACTTTAGAAACTCGAAACATTAAGAATGTAATTCAGTAATCAGTTTACAATAGAGGGATGCAAATCTTGATAGTCTTCATAGATTATGTGAAAAATAACTGGTTATTCCGGTTTGGCTATCTGTATTTTTGAGTTTATTCGAGCAACGTAACCAGCATTGTATTATTTTTATCAAAAATCAATTGTTCCCTTCGTAGTAATTCCGATGCCCGCAAAAATCATAATCAGCGTAACAGCAACCAGACGTGTTAAAACGAAATAAAAAAATCCCACCACAAGATGGGGTTTGACATAACCAGTTAACGTTGATCTCTGTGATTCGCTCGTTAACTCTTCATTTGTAAAGGATCTACAAGCGTAGTGGGTCTCGATTTATTTGTTACCAGAGTATTAATGGTTTCGGAGCGAACGAGACGCGCGAAATTTAATCTTGCGCGCAAAAAGTATTGAATAGAACGGGACAAAAAGAATGTGATAAATGGATCGCCTGGGTCATCATGCTCGCCTGGTACTTGCATTCTAGTTTTAGAACAAACGTGTATGTACAACCTTACTAATATTATAAATGGATGGATGGATGTTTGTTAGAGTATGTCGCCAAAACGGCTGAACGGATATCAATGAATAATCGGCATATACTTTTGTTTTATTTTTAATTCCACGCAGACGTGGTCACGGACAGACCCTGGTATAACATAAAAAATTAAATATTCTACCGAAAAAAACAAAAAAAAACTTAATAATTCTAGTGTCTTGGTATTATGGTTTTAACACCCTGATGCTAAATTTTTTTTCATTAGCATTTAACCATCCAATACAAAATCTTTCCCAAAGGGTAACTAACCCTAAACAGCGATTTCCTCAACAAACCATAAGGCGGGGAGTAATCCATCATGAGTCCATCGCCGTTGCATTATACTATAATTACGTAGACCTATCCTTAAAGTTTCTATTTACTATTAGTAAAACATCAATCGAATTAAAACCTTATTGCGTACTGTTACCGAATACAATCGCATACAACTTTACATAATGCAGTTGAAACTTGTTGGAGCGGTATACAACAAACAAGGGTTACCAAACGCTTCACCACAATTTTAGTTCCTTAGACACGTGTCTATTGTTTGGTAGAAGTTTAGGGAACAAATTATATATCTTTACACGTGCTCACTGCGTTTATTTCGTTGTTGATTATCATTGCTTTGTTATATTTATAGACTACTGTTTATGTTTATAATGTAAATGTTAGAACATAAATTGTCGTTTATTAAAAAAATGAACTATGTGTAATATAAGTAACTATGAGAAATAAGAATTACGACAATAAAATTTGCTTTTGCAAAAATAGCAAAAAGCGAACATCACGCGGTGTTCCCAGGCGGTCACCCATCCAAGTACTGACCGCGCCCGACGTTGCTTAACTTCGGTGATCGGACGAGAACCGGTGTTTTCAACGTGGTATGGACGTTGGCGACAGCTTCACGTTATTTTACGGTAAGAATTAAAAATCTAAACTATTTAAAAAAATAGTATATCCTACTAATTACAACATATAAGGAGCTTATCTGTGTTTTCTTTTTGTGAATATGAAAAAAAACAGCAAAAAGCCAACATCACGCGGTGTTCCCAGGCGGTCACCCATCCAAGTACTGACCGCGCCCGACGTTGCTTAACTTCGGTGATCGGACGAGAACCGGTGTTTTCAACGTGGTATGGACATTGGCGACAGCTTCAGGTTATTTTACGGTAATAATTTAAAATCTAAACTATTTTAAAAAAAAATATAACCTACTACTAACAACATATAAAGAGCTTATCTGTGGTGTTTTCTTTATGAGAATATTAAAAAAAAAACAGCAAAAAGCCAACATCACGCGGTGTTCCCAGGCGGTCACCCATCCAAGTACTGACCGCGCCCGACGTTGCTTAACTTCGGTGATCGGACGAGAACCGGTGTTTTCAACGTGGTATGGACGTTGGCGACAGCTTCACGTTATTTTAAGTACATTATGTTATTATTATAAGTATCAATTACTTTTTAAATTTATTACCAAGAAAGAACTGTTCAGCTTACATACGTTAAATTTATCTGAATGATCTGACTGCTTAGAGTGCAAGCTTTAAAAAAAATAGTACTCTATTCTTACGATGAATATCAGTGAAAAGTAACACAATAAACTGCTGTCTGAACTTCAGACATTTCCAAGCAGGCTCTGACCTCTTAGACACTATTATGCTCGAATCAAGTACCAAACAATAAGTATAGCGAAAAAAATTTCGTCGGAATAGAGGCGAAATAAAAAATCTCAAGTATACTTGTATTCAAGTATTTAAAATACGGTTGTTTAAAAGTGAATCCAGACATAAAAGTTGTAAAAGTCCAAAAAGATGGTCCCGTCACAAATGGCGTTTTCAGACAAGTATATGAATTAAAATGTATCGTTTGTCCCGCTGTCGAAAACGGCGCCACTTCAAAGGCTATCATGAACCACAAAGGAATCCTCTTTGCTGAAAACATGCATGAACGTGTGCTTTGCTGTATATCTTCTATACTAAGGGACTGTCCCACCACTGGCTGGTAAAGACTCAGATAGCTTAAAAATGACGTCACTGAGAGATAAGATAACATAATCCAATATTTCCATCACATATTTTCCATTGGATTGTTATCAGACAATTTACTATTAGGTGGGACAGGCCCTTATGCTTATTATTTATACTAATGTAATAAAGCGTAAACACATACTACTTAGTTATGTAGGATGTCAGGAATCACACTACATTTTTGAATCATTCCTTTTTTAATAAAAAGCCCAACATTTACAACACGGCTATATATCTTCACGCTATTAATCTTAGCGAGGAAATAATTTGGAAAAAAACGGTCTTGTGGTAAAGAGACAAAAGCTGCCAGCTTTTATAATCGAATGTCAAAGGCCTTCGTTGACGTCCGCAATTGAAGATTTCACAAATGTAAATTTTGAAAGAAATTCCTGCTTTCCTTTAAGTTTGCAGTTCGTTTAAGGTTAGGAGAACTGAAACTTTCTTATGAATTAACTAGCTTGTGCCCGCGAGTCAGTCCGCGTGGTATTTAAAAAGTGAGTATGTTTGTTTTTCCAGACTTTCATTTAAACTTCCGCATTTATAATATTAGTATGAAATATGAAACTATGAAGTATGATGGTGATTAATTTAATTTTATTTAAAAAAGAATACTAAATATTGAAGATTTTAATTAGATTTTCTCTGACTAACGCAGACACTTTCACAGTTAGCAGTAAATATAATGATATACAGTAACGTAAATTAAACCTTAACAATATTGTTTTAAGGATCATAATTCGCGGTTTCATTTTTGCTCATAGCAAATGTTGCAAAAGTATTAGGGGTATTAAATTAATATCTGTCAGCTTAAGGCGGTTATTATGAATCATTCGACACTCAAAGTGTGCGATATTAGTGAGAAACGCTTTGTGGGATTATGCTCTCAGTTTTTCTGTGATCTCTACTTACGTTCAGCATTCTGTTAATAATGAACTACCCACATTTTACACAGGATGTTACCAAAAAATTACATAGATATCAAAATTGAATGATCAAATCCTTTCGTTTATAACTGTAACAAAGAATAGCTTTTGGATCAATGTTTTATTTTATGAATTGATGGATCGTTTTTTACACGAAGTAATTCAAAAAATTTTTACCCCAGAATTTTACACCTATCAGTTTGCAAAACATGATTACAGTGATGTCCTCTTTTAAATGTCATCATCATCTTCTTCCAGAACTTTCCATAGATAGCGATTGTTTGTTTCGATGCTTCTAATATCTTCGGTGGTGACGTCATCACGCGCTAACTTCATGATTGACTCGAAATCATCGTTGTTCACTGAGGCGACTGACAATAAGGTTGTATCAGTGATGTTGATGGAGTCTCCCGCGTCTCCCCTTTCGTGTTGAGCTCTAGCGTCAAACCTGTTGGTTGCTCGATTCTGGAAAATACGATTAGTTACCTTAGTTCGATACTTGTGTGTAAAGCGGCTGGCTATAAACGGCTTCTCAGCATTAATAGATCTTGCCACATTTTATGTACCAGCTCTAAAGTTGTCGTATATTCAATTTCATGTGTGGTTTTTTTGTGGTAATACAAGTCCTATTTATATGATACCAATAATTTTTTATGCCTGCCAGAAGACAAGAAGTGTAGGACCAGAAGTCTAAAAGACCGGATAATAACTCAATTCACTCAATTCGGCATTCCAACTTGAAATACTAAGATTATGAGAAAATGCTGTGAAGATTGTGACGTTGGATATGAAAATCAATTGTATCTTTTCCCGTCTATCTTTTGTCCATTAAAGGTAAAGCAATTCATTTTCATGTTACAGTCGCCGTCTTTTTAAAAATATGTAGTGTTAGGAACAAAATTAGTACCGTGCTGTAGAGTTGGCGCAACTCTAGATTATCGGCATAAACGTCACGTCCCTAGCTGACAGCTGTCAATGTCACAAGAAGTATGGATAGATTGGCGCGTAACTTGAGTCTTGACGAGTATTGCTCTGAGTTAAAAGCGACAGTATCAATTAAATAAGTTGTCTAATAGTTTGTAGTACTTACATCTATAATAGCCATGTGAAGTATTGGAACTTCCAGTTTTAATGGTTTCACGTAATCAGGTTCCTTATTCTTATTCTCTTCAGCTTGTACCTAATTAAAAATAAAAACTTTTAGATAATCATTTTCTTCGTCAGATTGATAATAAAGAGGACAGATTTGTATTTTTGTAGGTATTGAAATTCTTTCACTATTAAAAAGACATTATCACTGAGTATAGGCTAAATTTTAAAATTTTACGCGGGCGAAGTCGCGAGCAAGTGCTAGTATCAAAATAAAATCTTATACTACGTCTAAATAGTTAACTGTTCACATTATTTCACGTTTATCTTGATACAATGAAATCTTACTCGTTTCTGTCGCCACTTCTCCAGATATGTGTTAGTAGACTGCAACCCACGCCGGCTCTCCTGGAGTAATCTATCTATGCGATCGTTTTTATTTGGAGAACTCCAGTTGTTAAGTACCTGAAATTATTAATTAGGATGCGAGTCAAAATAATAATAAAATCGCATGTGCTGGTTCAGTTAATGTACTAAAGGTTCAAGAATTAGTTATCTAATACGTGCTGGTTATCGGTTGTTATTTTACACCAAGACAACAAAAACGGATCTAAATTTTACAAATGCTACTCATTCTGAAGAACCTATACGTCCAAACGGATCAACAAAAGTAATTAACTAAGCGAATAAAGCATCTTACTAATCCTATCTTACTATCTTAATTAATATTATAAATGCGAAATTTTACATGGATGGATGGATGTTTGTTAGAGTTTGTAGCCTAAACGACTGAACGAATCTCGGTGAAATTTGGTATAGATGTAGAGGATAGTCTGGAAGAACACATAGGCATGCTGTGTCTTCTTTTTTTAATTACGCGCGGACGGAGTCGCGGGCGAAAGCTAGTAATATTATAAATGCGAAATTTTAAATGGATGGATGTTTGTTAGAATTTGTAGCTTAAACGACTGAATGGATCTCGGTGAAATTTGGCATAGATTTAGAGGATACTCTGGAAGAACACATAGGCTACTTATTTTTGTTTTATTCCATGCCGACGGAGTCACGGGCGATAGGTAGTTAAAAATAAAATAGCACTTACCACTGTCATAACAGCTAAAAATAGAACTTCAGAACATAAAAGAGGAAGATTCATTAATCTAGCTCCTTCCAGTAATAATACCTTCGTTTCTTCTTTCACTGATTCAGGCAATGTTTGAAGATTTTCAGAAAAGCTCTGAATCAGTCTAAGGGAGACATTACCAAGAACACAATCTATTACAAAGAGACACGAAACCAATGCGAACAGAAATAACACCATTCTTACTTTGTACATGACGGGAATTTTGTTAAAATAATTTTTACACTTGTAATAAATTTTCACATTGATTTCAAGCAACTGCAACTGCGACTGTGAATTTAACGTCTACAATATCAACATTATTCAACGGTGTCAAATTTCAAATGAGACTTGTCTATTTTTGATTGATCAAAGTGACAAAATGACAACCTATTTTTTTTTATCTTAAAGTAGGTAGAATCAAATAAAAAATTATCGGACACTTTCACGATGCTATGATTAAATCCAATAAACGTTGTTATTTCCTTAAATACAGTTTGTCTAAATAAGATAGACATAATAGCATAATCAATTGGACCAGAGAAAGGGCAGATAACCTAATAATCTTGTAACCATAGTAACCATGATTTTGTTATGCTTAGCAACTACGTCAAGTTTGTTTTGTAAAAATTGCAGGGAGGAGAGATTTTAATCTTTGATTTTTGTATTTGAATCGTTTTGAAGTCGTAGCTGAGCAGAAAAATGGTAAGACTTCCAATACATTTATTTCAGTATTGGTGTAACTATTTATGTTTTAATTTGTTTAAAGATAAATGTTTCGATCGTTTACACAACCTGCAATGATGAGCACACAAAACAGCGATAAGAACATATCTTTTAATTACTTGTGGCAATTGTAGTAACAATTAAGTTGTTATTTCGTTTTCTCAATGTGACATTATCTATAAATCCTATTTTTCAGCCACCCAAAGGAAAAGGCGGAGCAAAGAGGGCTCCGGGTATGTAGTAAAACATTTTAAAATAATAACATAGCCCTTTTATTCTGAAATTATTCAAGTAACTAGAGTTGAGAGTGCTTAAAGTTCACAATGTGTCTCTAATTTCAGTGTGCCTCTTCTAAAACTAAAACATTGTTAATTCATGACATGTAGTCGAAACAATCTTAATTAATTTAATATTTTTTGTCCTTTTCAGCCATCGTTATAGATGGAGTGGACACATCTGAGATGACAAGAGAAAAGTTAGAGCAATTCACTCTCCGTGTCAAAGAGGAATTAGACAAAGAGAGGGAAGAAAGAAATTACTTTCAATTAGAGAGAGATAAAATACGCACCTTTTGGGAAATCACCAGACAACAATTAGAAGAAGCTAAAGCAGAACTTAGGAATAGAGAGAGGGCGACAGAAGAAGCAAAAGAGGAGAATGAAGCGCTTTTAGAAACTGAAAAGCAGAAAATCAAACATTTAAAATATGAACAACAGGCCGCTGCAGCCGCTTTAAGAGCTGAAAATTTAGTTGCGTTAAAGGCAGCTAAAGAAGAACATGCAGAACAAGAACTTGAACTGTTGAACGACAAACGAATGCTAAGACAAGAAATAAGAGAGAAAGCTCTTGCCGCTCAAGATGAATTGAGAAGAGCGAAATTAGTACACGCAGAGGAATTATCAAAAGCCCGAGATTATTTTCAAGAGAAAGCACGTCAGATAGAAGATAAAGCTGAAAAAAAACTTCATGAGACTAAAGTAGAGCTTACTGTGAAGCACAGAATGGAAATAGCAGAAGTTGAAGAGAGGAAAAATAAACAGCTTTCAGAATTAATCGCACATCACGATCGAGCTTTTACCGACCTCAAGAGTTATTACAATGACATTACACTTAACAATTTAGGTAATATCGTATTTAATACCTTTATAAAAATTTAAATATCCCAGATATCTATTCTCTTATAATAAAGGGGAAATATTTGTGTTTTTGTATGTATTGAAATAACTCAAAAACTACTGGGCCGTTTTTAAATATTATTATATTGTTAGAAAGGTAATTTATATCTGGGTAACATATAAATTACCTTTCTAACAATAGGCTATGTTTTTTTTTTAATTTAACGCGGACGATGCGAGCAACAGATTCATAAAATTAATTAACCTCACTTATCTCAGGTCTTATCAGTAGCATCAAACAGCAAATGGAAGAAATGCAGAAAGTAAAAGAACGAGCAGAAAAGATAGCTAAGGATGCAGTTGCTGAAGCGAAGAACCTGCGGGAACCTCTGGAAGCAGCGATTATTGACAACAAAGAGTTAAAGCGTCAAATGTCGAATTATGACAGAGACAAAGCTGCGTTGGCTGTAAGTAAACACTTTAAGTAAGGGTAAGTCAATATAGAATCACATTTTCAAGGATGAACAGCATTGATACAGATATGGAATTTCAGATAATTTAATAAGTCTAAATAATAATATGATCCAAAACGAAACACTTACGAAGTGCTACTAAAACTAATTAAAACCGATTGTCTTTTATTTCCAGGCAAAAACGAAACAGTTGGCATCATTAGAAAAGCAATTCGAAGTATTGAAATGGGAATACGAAGTACTTCAGGTTAGATTTGACAGGATAGAGAAGGAACGCAACGAACTGAAGTCGCGGTTCTCGCGTGCCGTTCTTGAAGTGCAGCAGAAGGTTTCCTTGAAGACTTCCCTTTTAGAAGCCAAGTTGCAGAGTTTGGAAGCCAGAGATTTGGGGCCTAAGGAAATACATGTAAGTAAATTATGGATTGATATTTTTTGTCAAAGTTTATTATACATCAAACTCATGTTATAAATGTTTAGATGGATGTATTGATGTTTGTTAGAGTTTTTTACTATAAACGGCTAAACGGAATTAGATGAAATTTAGTATAGATGTAAATGATAGTCTGGAGGAACACTTACGTTTATTTTATTCCAGGCGGACGGAGTCGCGGACAAAAGCAATAAAAAAATAAACTTGATTTTTGATTTAAATGCGTTTTAACGTATTTTTTTTTAGGATCTGTTGAAATTGAAAGACACGCAAATAGAAGATCTACATTACGAGTCAGCGCGGCTCCGGAAAGCTCACGATGATCTTCTCGCGACATATGAAGCTAAACTTACAAAGCTCGGTATACCGGCTGAAGAATTAGGATTCAAGTAAGTCCAACGAATTAACAAATGACCAAAACGAATTTTATACATCCCTCTTAGACAAAGTAATATTCAATTATCAAATAAAATCAATTAAAAATACATAGCCTGGGGTGTGTCGTAACTGTAGTGCTTTTTGTTAAAGAAAGAATTGTCCTAAATATGTGCCACAGGGTGGTGTGTTTATACGCTTTATTATCATAGCATAGATTGTGTAAGAATATCTTACATTATGTGTTACACGGAAGAGAGGGACTTCCTAACACAAGGGCCTATTGGTTACTTAAAAGGAAGTCCCTACAACTAATTGATTTGTAACTTACTTGATTTAATAATAAAAATTCTATTTTATTTATTTTTTTTATTATCGCGGTTGCTGCTCGAAAATTCGAAAATTTATGGACCTGACAATAACATTCGATGAATCACGTGCTAGTCACGTATTCATTTCTATGCGTATTGACACATTTTGCCAATTCTACAAGCGATATCGCTAATCGAAAGTCACTTTGTCTAGGGGGCTAGAAATATTGTAATGTTTGTATTAAGATTAATTGCAAAGCCCATGGAAAGCTTTAAAACTTAAATAGTCTCTATTTAATTTTATAAAAGCACCATCTGTCGGCTGTTTGCTTACTTAATTTAAGATCTACCTAATGGTTGTGCAACAGCGACATCTTACGGGTATTTCAACTACTTTTTTGAGATCACCAAATTTTTTCCTTATTACAAAAGTTCGGCAAAGTTTGACATAACTCAAATTTAAAACTTGCAATGCATTTTATTTTAACAAGTTTACTTCATATTAAAAAAAAAACAATATTGATTTGTTAACTTTGAGAAGTATATCTACACTAAGAAAATAAAGATAAGCGCCATCTACTGGGCTATACCGTAAAATCTATCTAGATAGATGTCGCAACAGTCCGGTAGACGGCGCTTATTTGATGTTTTTAAATACCCGACGTATTATATTTTTTAATCTTCAATTATACTAATTCTTTATATTTCTTTAATAATCATAAATACCTGATTGAAATAATTCTCTCATTTTAGACCTTTGAGAGCAGTCACTGTGGCGGGACTCTCTCCAGTTGTGGGAATGGGACCTGCGGGTTTAGTCACCAACGACAAAGTGTAGACAAATATTAACGAAGAAAATCGCAAGTAAAATAGCTTTTTTAATGAGTACATTACTAATAATTATTATGGAAATGGATTTATCAATTATACCCATGTGTAGGAACTTTTCAGTAGTAAGACCAAAAGGTAACTATAAAATTTTAGATATTGTCTGAATTATCAGATTATTCGAATGTAAATGCGACTTTCATTTTTAAATTTATGTTCATGTCATTTAAAAAATTCTAAGGTTGCACTCAAAATGTTGCCCAAATCCTTGCCTGAAATTTGTTCTGCAGTTTCAAGATTCTTTATGGAAATAAATGAAATAAAACAATATTTCGAAGCCAATAAGTGTATTTTATTACTACTAATTTTCTCATTTATATATATGTTTATATACAAAACTATCATAAGGCAACAGTTTCAAATTAATAAAAAATGCTTTACATTTCTCATTTTTAACATTATTACATTTGGTAAGAAATTATTTTTCAATCTTCAAAGTTTTCCGACTCTTGTATTATATTAACCAGAAAAATAATTAAACCAAATATGTGGAAAAATCACGATAACTTTAACAAAAAATACATATATAAAATTTGACTTTTAATTAGTAATTCGCCACAAGCAAGCTTAAAATTTTACAATTTACTACTAACTGTCATTCAATTCCCGAAGCACGTATACAAATTTATATTGCTCTCTCTCTCTCTCTCTAGCTCTCTCTCTCTCTCTCTCTCTCGCTCTCTCTCTCTCTCTCTCTCTCTCGCTCTCTGTTTCATAGAGAGAAAGAGAGATAATACATTCTGTATAAGTTCTGCAGTTGAAAATCAGTTTCATTTTAAAGAATTGCAACATTTTCAGATAAAGATAAAGGTGCCGTCACCGGAAAAATAGACGTGAGTGACGCCATAATATAAATAGTTATAAAATGTCTCACGTTTATATAAAAAAAAAAATTCGACTTTACAATAAAACAATATAATTGTAAATAAACTTTCGCGAGACATAATACTATATGACTTATAACATCGACAGTGTAGAGGACAACATAGTGGACATTGTCAGCATATTTTGTGCCCCCGAGAACAATAACACAACCAACTCTTCAGTTTCGAGTTCGTCTCCGCCGACGCACAGTGTCCCCCCCCCCGCATCCCCCGCGCCCCCTGTCCTGTCGAATCGCGCGTTGCTGGCTAGGGCATTCAGTGACCGTCGCGACACGATAGCGAATAAAGCCGGCAACCACTCACCCTGAAGAAAGACCCCTACGGGTTTGAAACTGGTCGGTGCCTACACCGAAAGTCCCAACGTGAGTTTTAGCCGTGTTATAAATCACATTGCATTAGCATTGAGAATATGAAGAATGGAAATTTATTTTCAAAAATGTAAAAGCCCATTATTTGTGGCAGTGAATATCTATGTCGTTACTCATGTTTATATTTTTCAAAATTTATCTCAATTTAATGAAAAGGAATCATATATTTAACCTTTAATTTGACGGAGTATTTTTGTAGAAAAAAAAATATGTTACCAACACACTAAATTCAATTTTGATTTTGATTTTACTGCGCTGGCGCAGCGACCCGAAATGGGTCGTTGCCTCCGACACGACAGAGCGCCATTTTCATGCTGGTAACATGGAAATAATTAAAAAAAAATGAATAATTTTTAAAAATAACAGTTGATTTTTTTTTAAATTAGTTCATCACTGGATACTATAGAATTAAGGATTAAGTTTTCTTGGAATATGTTGCTGTTAAAATATAAAAGTATTAGAATGCAATTAAATATTAAAAGATAAAATAATTAATTCAATAACAATAAAACAATTAAATTCACTGTAGATTTATAGAAAAAAAAAACATGAACATCTATAGTTAATAATTAAATATACAGTAAATTAGTAGAATTAGGGCCTGTCCCACCACTGGCTGATAGAGGCTCAGATAGCTCAAAAATGACGTCACTGTCAGATAAGGTAACAAAATCCTACTTTATATAACATATTTTACACGTTGGGTCAGACAATTTACAATTTGGTGGCACAGGCCTTTAAAATCATCACAATTGTGATAAAAATTTAAAGTCTGTCCCACCAAATTGTAAAATTGTCGTATAACAATCCAACGTGTAAAATTTGCGATGGAAATACCTAATCTGCCAGTGACGTCATTAAAAGTTATCTGAGCCACTATCAGCCAGTTGTGGGACAGGCCTTATAATCGTTACATTTGTGATAAAGATTTAGTAAAATTTATACACAACCAAATTTACTTAAGAAGATAAATAAAATGCTTCTTCCTTCTGAAAATATCGCTTAAACTTAATTTGACTTCAAGTTACAATGATATTTAAGAATTGCTTGTCATTTTCTTATCATAAATATTTTTATTTTAACTACAAACTAGATTGCGTTATTTATCCGAAACATTTTACTGTCAGCTTCCATTGTATATTGTTTTGTTCACATATTGTTTTCCCATTATATTCAAATTGAATTAGATTATCCTGTACTAATGGTTTACTGGTGATATATTTTAAAACAATAAAGAAATACAATTTAAAAAAAAAATAAATGAACAAGTCAATAAAATAATCAGATTCAAATCGTAGCTGAAAAAAAACATACAGACGAATTGAATACCTCCTTTTGGGAAGTCGAAAAATAATTAAAAAAAAAATATACATCGTGTTTTGTTAATAAGATGTTATTACTTAATTGTAAGACGTGATATATTCCTGTTTATATATATTTCAATAAAAAATACAATAAGCAGTGCAATAAAAATCTTAAATATTTAAACGTACATGTAACTGATCTATGGAAAAACTTGTATCAATTTTTAAGTGTTATATAAAATGAAAATCTTAAATAAATATGTAATTATTATATATTTTCTTATATATTAACTATTTATCGAGCATTATTTCTAAATATGTGCGTGGGTATTTTGCGTTTTCTAGCTAATTCTTATTCTCACAGTCTAAGCAGTTTTTTTTTATTAAATTTCGCCTATTTATTAAATATATTATTTTAATTGCATTTAACATTTATATAGCTTTTATACATCTCACTATAGTGAATAGATTTATAATTGTCATTGGAAAATATAGTAAATTATTTAAAATTACTTTACATATATTATTAAGGGCCTGTCCCACCACTGCCTGATAAAGGTTCAGATATATTAAAACGTCACTGTCAGATAAGAACAAAATCCGATATTTCACATATTTTTCACGTTGGATTGTTATCAGACAAATTACAATTTGGTGGGAAAGGCCCTAAGTTTGCAAAAAGATCACATTATAAAGTTAACACGTACACGGGATTAAAATACAAGCAAAGCAAAAAGCTTCCGTCGTTTTTCTCACAAAATTCATTATCTTCCATTACTATCGATTTAGTAGTAAAATTTATCAAAGAAAATAAAAAAAAAACTATTTAAATCAAATGGAAAGCTATTGATAAATATTCGACCTTGTTAAGGCTCTAATGTATGCATTATTCACAAGCCTTTTTATTATATTAATAAAAAAAAATTAATAATTAAAATACTAATACAACCATACATGTGTTTCTAAGCGACTGTAATGCCTTTCAAAATATTCTTATTATCAATAAGATTCAAAATAAACTATTTAATTACGTAATTATAATAAAAATACATAAATAGAACAATCATGTTACTGAAAACTTTATAGTTAACATTAAATAATTCAAAATAACTTATTTGTTAGCAAATAACGTTAAATGTAATATTTATAAATATTATAGATATAATCAGAACTTCGGGAATAGCATTAGATATAATTTACAAATAGTGCAAAATGTAACAGTAAGAAGTAAAGCTTAATTTACAAATAAGACAAATAGAAATAAATGTAACATTTAAAAATAACTAGTCAATTTGGTTGATAACAAATAGCGTTAAATGTAATTCAGATATTGATTTTCCAACTGAAATACATATACGAGTATTTCTGTGAGCAGTTATTGTTGTCGGTACGGATTACTATGGACATAGTGTGTATCGATGAATTTTTAAAAAGTTAGGCATGGGACGGAAAAATCGATACTGGCTACAAGAGTACGGCTGGGACGATCAAATTTTAAACGTTTCCAATTCAGGCTTTAATCATTCAGCCTTGCGGATATATTAGGGAACATCCTTTACAATGGGCGGGTTGTAGCCTCTTATGCCTAAATTTTGATTTATTTAAAAATTTTAATTATAAATATAATCGACATTGGCATTGAGAAATTAGTTTATTAGGACGTGGTTTTGTAAAATCTATTTTTACAATGCGAAAAATGAAATTAGAAATTTTATTTTAATGTAATAACACATTTTTAATGTCTATAGCAACAGTATAATCAAATTTTAATGAAAATAATTTATAGATATTGAATATTAAATATAATGAATTGATATAATGAACACTAACAATAATTTAATGGTTATTTTTGCACGCGTGCATAACACCGAGAGCATATCAGCGTGATAATAATTTATGTATGGGAATTAAAAATCTTGTCTCTTAACATTATAATGGTTATAAATTATTTTTCGTGACATTCTCTATTACAAAAACATCTGCAATCGACTTAATATTGAGCAATAAATTTGTAAATAAAAAAAAGAACATTTTTGTTACATTTTTTTAAATAATTGAGACACGCCTTTTCCCGCGAAATATTTGCCGCGATTATTTACCTATTAATATGTACATTAAAGGAATTTTTTTTATTATAATAAGGCTTTTTTTTATTAAATAATTGCGACTTTATAACACGTCGAATAGATTTGAAAATCGAATAACATTATGGTTTAGAAAAATCTTGTAATTGTTGTAAAAAAAATGGTATATTATTTTTAAAATAACATTTATATTCGGATCTTAAAGATTAAGGATTATAACAATCTTTTAATAATATTTCGAAATAGAAAATACATCACGAAAAATTTTTGCAAAATACATTTTTTTTTGTTCACAACGCGTTATAAAAATCTCTTTCGCACTTTCTCACTCGAAGTGATCTACTTCTAGCATTTCAACAAGCAGCATTTAAGCTTAGTGACCACATATCGAATTATTCCCTACATTAATAGTTCAAGTTAGTTCGTGGTGCACTTTGTATGACCTGACAATACCAAAGCCGGATCTTCATGAGCCCTGTCATCTGAAACGAGAAGAAAAAACATTCAATTATTAACATGGAATTATTAAAAAAAATTAAAAAATAATCATAAAAAATATTTTACAGTAATTTTCTTGTAAGCCATTAAGGAAAATCATCTCCATATGTCTTTATTTCTTATTCTCTACATAATAAATTTTTATATAAAAAATAGAGCACCACCGGCTGCGGAATCCGATGACTATAGCAATAAAAAAAAACTATTAAAAATATTGTTAACTCATCCAATAATTTTTAAATTCCACTTATATGTTTATCCAGATTTTTTATAAAACATTTTGTTTTTATTATAACTTTTAAATAGTCATATGTAGTCTGTCCAGAAATATAAAATCCCTACTCAATTTACTAAAAAATATAGAAGTTTTATACGTGCATTATAAAGTGAAGTAAAAAATAGCCGATTGTGTCCCATACCAGGGATATTTCATTCTTAGTTAGACTATAATTTCTGTGGAAAAATGTGCAGAGTTTTAAATTATCGGTGAGAACTTCGCACAAATACCTATTAAATTATAGTTACGTCAACATAAAACTAATTGATGACAAAAAAAATAACATTTAATTTTTATTTTTTTAATTAAAACAGTGTGTTAGATACAGAAATCCAAACTTTTTAAAGAAAATTCATTTTATATATGGAAGCCATCAACATTAAAACGGAAGCAAGCAATAAAAAACCTTATTCAAAGCTGGTGGATTTAATTTTATATACTGAAATGTGCATATTATTTGTGTTTAGGTATCTTGCGCTTTGTGATTGTGGACGAAAGCGTGGTAGAAACGAGTACACTAGTAATGTTGTGTGTATCACATTTCTTACAGCGCCATCTATTGTTGCATCTTCGTAATTTGTAACGATCTTTTAAAAAATCTCTTGTTTACATATTACATTTAAAGCAGTTTCAATTTATTTGTGTAGATTATTTATTACAAAATATTTTAATTATTATTAGGAAAAGGATCTCTGCAATAACTGTGAAGCCTTAAATAAACTTATAAAACCCATTTACATGTGAATCACACAACACAATAGTACTGTTCTACCTTTATATTGCAAAGCACAAAGCCTTCACACGTACCTCTACCGCGCGGTACATTTCATTAGGCGTTCACGAAAGAAGACTTGGTCCTGTCGAGACAATTTTCGTATCAGATATTTTGACAGATTTTGAGGAAAATGTTTCAAAAAAAAAATTAAGGTATACATAATTCTGTTTAGACAATATGGTAGTTATATCTTTCATTTATTTTTAATTTTCAGTGTCAGTTTAAACTAATATTCTATAGTTTTCATGTCTATAAACGCTCGGTTTTACGGTGAATAACTCTGAACTAATGCAGGTTTAGAGCGTGTGTACAAACTAAACTATCGCACAACTGTTTAGTCACGCATTGATTCCTATGACCTTATATGGTGGTGCACACTACTCGATTGATTTGTGCAAAACAATTGAATTGGCTGCGAAATAATCGACAATCGACCATCGCACAACATTTGTTTAGTTTAGTCAAAAGTGTGCGCCCGCTCTTAACTATCATTTGTTTGTTTTTTACATTTGTGACACTTAGCGTGCGTTCGCACGGGCAGACTTTGTACGCCGCGGTAAAGTTCAAGGTCAGCAGACTTTTTACGCCCACGAGATAGGTGTT